CTTGGAAGGCTGAGGCGGAAGGATAACTGGAGCCCAGCAAGTTGAGGCTACAGTGGCCGGGAGCGTGCCACTGCACTCCAGCCTGGGCAACAGAGTGAGACTCCAACTCAAAAAAATAATAAGTAAATAAATGCTTAGGCCCTTGGGGGTCAGCAAAGCCCACATCTCTTTTATGGAAGCAGCAGAGAACAAGTTTAGGAGGCAGAGGAAGAAGGTGTGTCAGCTCCTTCCTTGACACCAGTGCTGGTCAGTGGGGGATAATTTTCAGCTTTCACATGGGGCCCACTTAAAAGTTTCCCTAAGCACATATGAACACATTTTACCTTCATTTTCAGGTTTAAGGCCCTCTAAAGTTCATCTGCCCTGTGTGTCTGACACAAACTCAAATTAAAGACCCTTAACTTGTGTGTATTTTAACCCCTGCTGAGTCAGCCTGGGGCTGGCATAGGGCTTAACATAAGGTGACCCTATGTTCAGGTTTGGCAAGGACAGTCTAAGCTCCTAATTTGATTTGGAGACACTGGATCATCTATCAGTTATAATGGCTGTTGGGTGTGGAAGGAAAGTTGGGAAAAAACAGAGCAATGTTGGAGAACTACCCAGACTTTGGGACTGATCCTTATGGGGTAACTGCAAGTTCAACACATAGCATCCCAAGAGTGTTATAAACTCAGGCTTGGTCCAGGACACCTCAATATCCAACAGGTGTATAGCAAATGGGAAGGTGGCAAGAGATCCCCCGGGACAAATGGAGAATCCAGGTGATGAAGCCATTCAGGGCGGGAACACGGGGCACAATTACTACAGGTGAGGGCTGGAGAAATCAGCACTGGCAAGGGCTTCTGCTGAAATTGAGGACCTCAGGGAACTCTGCCTTCCTGGGATCCTTGAATGAGAAGGAGAGTCTTTCAACGAGCTCTTTTGAGTATTTAGTGGCTGGAACAGGCAGTCTGAGGTGACTCTATTGAAGACAGGAATACGGTATGGTAAGAAATTATGACAGATCAAGTCCAAGAATGTAAGCATATGTGTACACAATGTACATATCCCCAGTTCCTTCCCAGCCTGGCCTCATGCCCAGTGGCCAGACACTCTCTTCTGAAAATAGGCATTCATTTGATGCAGATTTTACCAGGATGCAAATGCTAACCTGAGGTGGGGGTGGGGAGGGCAGTGGGGAGAGGTGAGAGAGCCTGGAGGGAGATGTCATGGCATTTAATGGTGCCAGCATCATGACCAAGGTCATCAACAGAGGGAGGGCCCTCACAATGACTCCAGTATTAAAGAGCCACTTTTCCAACTTCTCCAGAGAGTAACAGAATGAAAACGACCTGAACGCCTGTGAACAGGCCAGAAATGCTTAGGCGTTTTACGTGTTACTCCCCTAGACAGGTAACGTTTTAGACAGAGACTGAGACTCAGAGAAGGTAAAGAAACTTGTCCTAAGTACAGCTGGCAAGAAATAAAGCTGGAACCCAACTAACCAAAAATGGAAACCCCAAAACCCAAATTATTAAACATAATTTTTATTTCATCCAAGGCGAAGCTAAATACAATTCTACAATGCAAAACATGTTGTAGAGGCAAGAGTCTGATCACATCCATTCTGTGCTTGAACTTAAGTCAGTGCTAGGTGTGTGTGCATCTGTGCCTCCCAGAGGCACCTGCATACCTGAGGCCTCCCAAGGGCCATCGCTGCATTGTTTGATCTATAGTTATATAGGAAAATTGACTATGGGTATTGTTGTCATCCAAGCCAGAGGAATAAACCATGCATAAGATAGTCAAAAGCACTGCATATCAGGTGGGAGGTGGGAGGGTAGGGACTCCAACCTGGGACAAAGTAAAGTGAAGCAAGTTATAGGATTTTCCCCCAGAAGTCCCCCTCCTGCTCCTCCCTTCCCGTAGCCCTCCAATGGCAGCTGACTGTGACAGTGAGATGGAGTTGAGGAGTGATGGAATCCAGGAGCACAGCTGTCTTCCCTTGTCTCTGATCCTTTCTGCAGGTGCCCCAACTGGTATAGGGCAGGCCAAGAAAGATGGCTCCGGAAACGTCCAGAGTCTCCCCCATCATGCATCCCTGCTTCCATGCATAATTCACCCACTCTACAATCACGCCACCACATGCCTGCACTGCCCACACATACACGCAATCCATACACACACTCCATGCACACACACCCTTCCTCCTGCTGTCTCAGGAGCACGCTCTCGACCCCTCGATCCATGAGAGCACTAGCTAGCCAAATGTGTATGCAAACCTGAGCCCTACCAGCTTTCCCAGGCCTCTCTAGCATCACAAGTTTATTCTACTCAGTTCCTACATGGGAAGAAACCCAAAACCTGGAATGCTGATGTCATTTTTGTGTTCAAGGATAGGGGTTCAGAACTTTGTCTTTGGTCTCACTGACATCACTGTCAGTGCAGCTGCATGCATTCAGGTCTCCCAAGATCAACTCTGTAAGTGATTTCCATAGCCCTGGAAACACCCTCATCAGCCCTAGAGACCACTGTCAGAGACTTGCACACACTGAGGATCTGCTTGGGGAAGACAGCTTTGCCCATACATTTCCTAGTGCAAATCCATGCCCAGTGTATCTCCATGTGTATAATGCTGCCATTGGGACAAGATGTTTTGTGGTGACTAAGTTTAGCACTCTTAGTAGTGCCCTCCAGACTTTGGAGCAACCAAAAATGTACCCCCTATAGTCTCAGTCACCCCCATTGCAAACCACCAAGCAAGAGCTTTAAGCATCAGAGTCAAGGTTTCTAACAATGCAAAGATTAAATAATTCCAAGGGGTGGGATAGAGAGTGAGAGAGAGTGTGTGTGTGTGTGTGTGTGTGTGTGTATGAGAGAGAGAGAGAGAGAGAGAGAGAGAGAGAGAGTTGTAGAGATGGATCACAGAGATGAAGACTGGACAGACTTGGAATAATCCCTCCAATTATAATATTTGGCTTCCCAGATCCCTTTCCAAGCCAAAAAGATTATTAGGCAAAACTCGCCAAGCCTCACAACAGTCCTGTGAGGTAGGTAAGTACTATTATACCCATTTGATAGATGGAGAGAGCTGAACCCACAGAAGCTACATGGCCCACCTTTAAGTCAGCAGTAGACCCAGGAGAGGAAAGAGAGGATGGTGCCCTTCCTCTCTCCCACTCTATAAGCAGTGGCTTCCTCTCAAGACGGTAAGAGAAGGCCCAAGATACTCTGCCTCTTCAAATGTTGACATCAGGAAGGGAGAAGAAAGCAGTTTTACATGAAGGCAGCTATAAGTTTTCTGAATGGCTGGTGCCCCTGGCCTGTCTGTTCCCAAAGCCAGGAAAATCTGAAGCCCAGCCTGTGATGGCCTCTCTGGGTGGGAAGGACTGAGGGAGCAGAGACAGATCAGAGAGGAAACCTGTGAGCCCGTCAGGTAGGCTAAGGGACACCAGCCTCAGCCATGGCACCTTGCAGGTCCTCAATCTCTCCCCATCTCCATCCTTCGGGGAAGCTTGTGGCTGCTTTTTGGCAAAGTGAGTCCTGGGGCAATCCCCGTGCCCTCTGGGAAAGAGGGCTGCTCCTCTCCCATCCCTCTTGGGGACCCAAAGGATAGTGTCAGAAATTCAGTAAGGGAGAGACAGAATAGGAGCAGACAGTGGAGAGCCCTGTTATCACATACCCCTGCCATCCCCGGCCTCACCATGTCCACCCTACAGGGACTCACACAATAGGCTCCATCAGGAGAACCCACTCCCAATATCACCACATTCACCCTGATGGGAGCCCCTGGCAGGTGTCTTCAAGACTCAGTCACTGACCAAGGGGCTGTTAGTGACACAACTACAGTCCCATGGCCCCCTCCGTGACCTGGGGACGGGGAGGGCTGGTGAACATTCACTAGCGCCACACCAGGCTGCTGTTACATCAGGATATATGGCTGGAGAGGTAAGGAGGGAGAGTAAGAGCTGGGACTCAGGAGCTAAGGCACAGTCTAGCCCCACACACAAGGGTGTGCAAACCAGTTCTTGGAAAAGCAAGGGAAAACTGCAGGCGGCATTTTCCTGCTCCTCCCAGGCCCAGGGTGGGAGGGGCAACTCCGCCAAGCAGGAAGCAGCTGGGAAACCCGAGGGCCCTCTCATCCAAAGAAAGAGGGTCCCTGAGGTGAAGGCAGGCCCTCGGCCTGGAACTAGAGAACAAACAACCCTGGGAAAGGTGTGATGGAGGGGCACAGGAAGAACAGGCAAGGGGTTTGAGGGTGCAGCCTCTCAAGCAAGATGGTGCCACCCGCTGTTGTAGAGGAACAGAGGAGAACTGGACTCAGGAGTGTCTGGGAGTGGCAATGGCCCTGCCATGCCAGGGGAGGGACCGTCAGCACGACAGGGCTGGGGCCGGCATTCCAGTGGCCCAAAGGCCAAGGACACTGGCTCTCTACGTCTGCAGCCCGATTTTCCAAGGAGAAATGCTAGGAAAGGTGTAGGAGGTACTCGAGTGCTCCAGAAGGGCTTGGGAGGGGTCTCTCCATGAGCCCCTCAGCAACCCAGAGAGCAGAGGAGCAGACTAGATGGGCTGGGACCCCTCAAGACCAAGGCAACCTGCCTTAGTTAGGAGGGTTTAGAAACTCCAAGCAGAAGATGGAATAGAAAGCTAGGACAGGTGGCCTAGGGTAGAGGGAAAGGGAAGGTCCCCACCTGGGGGACTGTGGGGGATTAGGCATCCTGAAAGGCCAAGACTTGCCTCTCACTGTGGCCCTCCTTGCATCAGCCCCTAACCCAGGTCTTCTCCAGAATCCTCTCCTCCTTCAAAAGGAGCCACACATGGCTCTTCCTTTACTCCATCTCCAGGGCCCAGTTCTTGGGGAAGCCTTCATAGATCCCCAAGTCCCCCTTGAAGAGGAATCTGGAGGAAGACCAAGGTCCTGCTTGTACAGGGTAGGGAGACCGAAGGAGACCCCATCAGCCCGGGTGTTAGGGGATCCACCCCTCTGCACCATCCAGCCCCTCCTTTCTTTTTCCTGAACCTTCTACAGGCCCTCTCCCTTGGCCATCCCTTGTCCCTGGGGAACCCTGGGTGGGGAGGGGATGGGGCAGGTTGGACAGGAGTGGGGCAGGCTGGGCAGGACCCCAGTTTCTCCTGGTAGGAAAAACTACAGTTTGAGCCAAGCAGCAGATGTCTCAGGCACGTGGGTTCTACGAACAGAGCTCAAGCATCAGTTTCATCGTCAGAAAGGGAGGCTCCCTGCAGCTGCTTGGCCTAAAGCAGGGGTTCACACTTTTGAGGGTGGTTTCTCTTCTGCCTTGGAGCCAGGCAACCCATTCTCTGTGTTGTCATTCCCCGAGGAACTCACGAGACACTCTTTCCTGGAGAGAGAGAGAGAGAGAGAGAGAGAGAGAGAGAGAGAGAGGTGGAGGGGGGAACACTGGTGAGGAGAGGAGCGAGTAGGGGATGAATTGTGGAGGGAGCCATGGCCCCTATGCCCAGCCCTATGCCTTCTCCCTGGCCTTCTACAGAGCTAAGGTAGCAAGAGGCCACGTCACCTAACATTTCTGTACTCAGTTCCCTCATCTATAAAATAGATGTAGCAATGGCACCATCTTCATGAGGTTACTGGGAGGAAAAACGGGCACTTAGAAAAGTGGCTGGCATGGAGAAAGTTCTCAGTAGGGCATAGCCATCACCTAGTTGTTTCAACACAGCAGAAGGCAAGGGGTCCCAGGTGCTGTTCCCAGGGTACACCACCCCAGAGGGAAGGGTCCAGACCAGTAAAGAGTATGCCAAGGACATAGAGGCCTTCCTCCCTGAGCTTTCTGGGACCAGAGGTAGAAAAAACGAAGGCCATGGAAGGGGTAGAGCAGGCAGTGGGTTTGGCTTCAAGGATGGCAGGTCTGGGCAGAGAGTGAAGGGATGTGAAGGAAGGCAATAGGGAGGAGAGAGGGTTAGATGGGAAGACACCTTCCAGGAGCCACCCTGACTGTCCTAAGCTGAACATGCTTCAATTTCAGTTGGTCCCTCCTCTATGGCAGCGTCCAGGCTGGGCACACATAGCTCCCCAGGAACAGCCTAACTCCTACAATTCTCTGAGCTTTTTGCTCATGAGAAGTGCCAAGTCTGTTTTATAGCTGCTGTCACTAAACTACATCCCACCCTCACCCTGGGCTTGCGTAGCTGGGTTGGAGGCCTTCGGGAAGAAGGACTGAATATTTTGTCCTTGTTAATTTCATCTTGCAGAATTCAGTCCGTAGCTCCAGCCTATCAAGATCTTCCTAAATCTCAACTTTTTTCCCCAGCATAATCACTATACTTTTGGAAATTTGGTAAGTATGTCATCCCTAGTATAGTTCAAAAGTTAATAGCAACAATGAACAACTAAAGATGTTATACCACTAAAGATGGAGTTACTTATCTGCCTGTCTAATATCTATAGTATGTCTGTCTGTCTGTATCTATCTCTTTCTGTCTATTTCTATCTATCTCTTTCTATCTACCTGTCTATCCATCCATCTATCTTTATATATAAGGTATAGTCAACCCGGCCAATTGCTGCCCACCTAACTGTACTATCACACAGTCCATAATTCTCCACTGAGAACCTACTAGGTACCAGGCACTGTGTCAGGAAACTTGCACTCTCCTAGAGACTACAGCATTAAACAAGTGATTGCAATACAGTGTAGTAAACGACAGGATGGGGGATGTACCAAGGAGGGACCTGAGCTAGGGAGGCTCCTTCTAGAGGTCAGAGAAAGCTTTTTGGAAGTGCTATTTAAGCTGAGACCAAGAAAGATGAGCAGGAAAGGAGGGAGGAGAAATTCCAGGTAGAGGGAACCGCACCCTCATATGAGAGCCCAGAATCAATTATAAGATGCTATCCTGCACCTCCCATCTTCTCGAGAAGCCACTGGTCTTGTCTCTGCTACCATGAAGGCTTGCCCCACCACTCAAAAGACCTCCTCAGGCTTCCCTGAGATGTGTCCCCTGCCCTTAGCCTCTCCCCACCCAGTCCCTGTGCCCACCATAGGCAGATCCTTTCTTCTGAAGCTCTCTGCAAGTCCTTACTTGTAGTCAGAAGGAAAGTCAATCACAGCCTGGACCCCCAGGTCCCCAAAGGTCAATCCCCAACCCCTTTGCAGGTTTTTTTCTCCCCTCCCTCCCCCTACATCCTCCATTATTCTCCAGACACAGCCCACTTCCCAGACTCTCTGCCTTTGCTACCCATGGCTCCTCCATGTGGAACACCCTTCCCTTCATTCTCCACAGGGCCCAAACTTTATCTGTCGTGCAAGGCCTACCACAAACACCCTTTTGTCCAGAAATCCTTCCCCAGGACTGCACCCTGTCCTGAACCCCTGCAGCAGCATTTTATCAAACCTCTTTGCTGGCACTGATCCCCTCGACCTTGTATTACATTTATTTGTGGACACATCTTGTCTCTTTTACTTAAGGACAGAATCTCATTCCCTCCAGAATCTCCTACCGCACTTGGCAAAGTGCCTTGCACACAGTACCTCAAAAATAGCCACTAAATGAAAGGATGAATAGATGAACTCCAGATATGCCCAATGAGTCAGTCGACTATGAGGCAATGGCTCAAGCTCTGAAGCCAAATTAGTCGAGAGTTCAAGTTCCAGTTCTATCATTTACTATCTGTGTGGCCTTGGGCAAGCCATTTAACCAATCTGAGTCTCACTTTGCTCGACTGGAAAATAAAAGTTATGGGAACTCATAAAAATGCCTGGTGCCGTACCTAACATATGGTAGGCATTCAATGAATGACAGGACGTGTTATTAGCTTCTTATCTGGAGCAATCTCCTGTTCTGCCAGTGCCCTATCAAGAAGATGTTTCGCATGCATTTTTTTAAGACAGACAGAGAGAGAGAGAAAGAGAGAGGTGTCTTGCTATGTTGTTATGTTGCTCAGACTAGACTCAAACTCCTTGAGCTCTGTCCGCAGAACCCACGTGCCTGAGACATCTGCTGCTTGGCTCAAACTGTAGAATTTCCTGCCAGGAAAGACTGGGGTCCTGCCCAGCCTGCCCCATCCCCTCCCCGGTCGGGATCCCCAGGGATAAGGGATGGCCAAGGGAGAGGGCCTCTGGAAGGTTCAAAAAAAGGAAAGGAGGGGCTGGGTGGCACGGAGGGGCAGGTCCCCTGACACCTGGTCTGATGGGGTTTCCTTGACGAGCCTCAGTTATTCAGGACTCAAGGAGCCTCCTGAGTAACTGAGACTGCAGATGCACAACGTCACATCCAGCTCAGCAGGCCTTACTTTTGATGACCCCACAGTGGCTCCAAAGGATTACTATTGTGTTTTCTAAGTGCTTTTAAACCATATAGTAACCATTTTTTTGCTCACCACCCACCGATGGGAAGACTGGTTACTAAAAACACAACCTGGTCAAGCCCCATGTTACTAGTCCCTCTCGAGATCATCAAAACCCTCACAGCCTTTGGCCACAAAGGAGGCAGACAACCCCCGGAGGTCTTGACCCCAGCCAGAGCTGGGGTCCTCTCCTGCTCCCCAGCTCTAACACTGTCCCTTAACCTCCCTTCCTGCCTTTAGCATCCTCTGCTCGCAGTGTAATTTCTGCTCTTGCTAGCTGAATTCCCTCTTCTTCCTCCCCAGAGCAGAAGGTCTCAGCAAACAGGAGCATCTCACTGTTACGATTACCCTCTCTGTTCTGTTCTGGTGACGGGCTGCCTCATCTCGCAGGGCTCACTCAGAACATAACTATCAAATGCCTTTTCCCTGCTCTGGCTTTGCTGCTTTAGAGCCTGCCTGATATTGTTCTAAAAGTTCTGGGCCTGAGGGTTGTACCCTCTGTACCTCCCTCCTCCTCCCTCCCCTTCCCCTTACAGATGTCTGTTTTTATGCCTGAACTTCTCCTAGGGCTTCCTGGGCGACCTCATCAGCCTTTTAAAAACTCCTCTATCTGAATTTTTAGTATTTCACAGTAAGAGAATTTCACTCCCATCTCCCTCAAAGGGTCTTCCCATTTTAGAGTCTTTGTACATGGAATCTTATATTTTCCCTGATGGTCTTAAAGGCTTCCTGAATCCTTTGGTAGTGCTTTAGGCTGAGTGGCACAAATGGAAAGACAGAGGCTAAGGGGGATAGGAAGAAAGACAGTGGGATAAGGAAGAGCAGGTGGCTAGGATTTATGTCCTCTGCGAATTGAAAGTGTCTAATAAATATATATTGGGAGGACGAGGAAGAGGGACAGAGATAAAGAGAGGGGCTGGGAGCTGGGGAGGAGGGCTGCAGGGTTCGTAGAACAGAGGGTGGTAGGAGTAAGAACACAGGGTAGGATGAGGAGATGGATGAAACACTGAAGGCTGCGGGGGCAGAGCAGGGGGGAGGTGGGGAGGCGGTGCACTGGCGCAAGACAGCAACGTGCCATGGAGGCCAACTCACTTCTTCTCCCGCGTCTTCTTGAGGATGAAGGTGATGAACTTCTTGAGCAGCAGGATGAAGACGAGGAGCCCGATGACCCCGCCCACGACGGCCAGGATGATGAGGGTCACCGTGTTGTCCACTTCTTCCACTGCATGGCCAGAGTGGGGAGGGAAGGGCAGGGACAAGAGAAGCAGGAGGGGAGCAGGAGTCACCTGGAGCCAAGCACCATGGCAGGGCAAGGGTCGCGCTGTCTTCACCCCTTGGGACACACCCATTCCCAGGCCCCCCATCCTCCCTGGGCCCACAGCAGGAAGCAGGAGAAGGGGAACACGGCTCCCATCAGGCCAAGGCACGACACACACACGTTCTGGAATAAATCAGCATTGGAGCCCATGACGCCCAAATCTGAGTCATGACTTGGCCTCCAAATTGCCATGTGAGAATTTCATTGTCTCTTTCTAGGCCTCCTAGGCCCATGCAGAAGAAATCAAGACCTTCCCTATGATATCGCTTAGATGGTGGAGTCAGATAGCCTGGTTTTAATGCAGGATTTAACTGTCACTAACTATCTGGCAACACTGGGCAGGTCACGTAACGCTTTAAACCCCAGTTTTCTCATCTGAAAAGCAAACTCCTGAATTCTTCCCAAACATGCTCCACCCGTGATCTCCCCAACTCCATTGAGAACAACTTTATCTTTCCAATTTCTCGGACCAAAATCCTTGGGGGCTATCATCTTTGACTCCTTTTTTTTTTTTTTTTTAAGTTGGAGTCTCACTCTGAGGCCCAGGCTGGAGTGCAGTGGCACGTTCACAGCTTCGGCAGCCTAGACCTGCTGGGCTCAAGTGATCCTCCTGCCTCAGCTTTCCAAGTAGCTGAAACTACAGCCTGCAGTACCTCGCCTAGCTAAAAATTTTTTTTTTTTAGAGAGGAGGGCTCACCAGGTTGCCTAGGCTAGTCTCGAACCCCCAGGCTCAGGCAATCCTCTTGCTTCCATCTCCCAAAGTGCTGGAATTACAGGCGTGAGCCACTGCAACTCTTCTTTTCCTCAAGCCCCATTTCCAATCCACCTGAGAATCCTAAGGCTCTAACTTCAAAAACATTTCATCCAATACCTGACAATCAACTTTTGCTAACAGAATACACGACAGTAGAAATAATCAGCACATGCAGAGAGAACTTTACCAGCCACAAAACATTCTCTAGCCCTCACAACAACCCTAGGAGAAGGTAGCCATATCCCCATTTCACAGATGAGAAAAATGAGGCTTAGAGAAGCTACATGTATTTCACAAGTTATGCAGTAACAAAATACGTGTTCAAACTGAACTCTCTAGCTTTCAGATACAATTCCAGTAACCCTTGAAAGTGTAAAGTGAAGAAAAACGCCAATACAGTCCATTTTCCCATTTCTCTGGAACACTGAGTTGGGTACCCCCAAGTCCTTCCCACTCCACCGCCCTTGTCCCAGGCCCTCCTGCATACATTTATCAACGACTTGGAGGAAGATGGTGGCCTGGTGCTGGAAAGAGTTCTCCTTGGGGTTCTTCGCGTGACAGGTGTATTTGCCCGTGTCACTGAATTCCAGGTCCTTCAGCACAATGGAAATGTTGTTCATCTTCTCTTTGGTGGAGCCTACCAGAGTGATGCGGTCATCGTCTTTCAACTTCACCTTGGGGTCAGACTTCTCATTCTTCACAGTCCCGTCTATGAGCTGTGGACAGAATGACCAAGGAAGAGTCAGGGACACCAAGGGGCATGATATCACGCCAGCCCGCTCCTTGAGGGCACCCCCTGTTCAGGTCCAGTAAGAGCCTGCAGTTGAGGCCTTCTTTCTCCCCTTTGCTTTCTTCTTCCAGTGTCAATAGCTCTAACAGTTCAACCTGAATTTTTGCTTGTTTCAGGCTCAACCCATTTCCTCTTATCAAAGTCTCCCTGGACTGTAACGTGCTTTTAATGCTCTCTTCATGAAAGTACTTTACGTAATGACTCGGACAAATAACACATTTCTGGCCGGGCTCGGTGGCTCAGCCTGTAATCCAACGCTTTGGGAGGCCGAGGTGAGTGGATTGCCTGAGCCCGTGGGTTCGAGACCCACCTGGGCAACTTGGTGAGACCTCATCTCTACAATAAATCAAAAACTAGCCGGGCGTGGGAGCGCGTGCCTGTAGTTCCAACTACTTGGAAGGCTGAGGCGAAAGGATCACCGGAGCCCACCAAGTCGAGGCTGCAGTGGCCAGGAGTGATCACTGCACTCCAGTCTGGGTGACAGAGTGAGACTCCAACTCAAACAAAACAAAACAAAACAAACAAACAAACAAAAAAACGCACTCATTTCCCTGTTGCTTCCCAGCCAGCCTTTGCCACCACCGTGTGCCCCAACTATCTGAATTCTGGACCCCCATGAAGACCTGGATCCATTCCCTAGCTCTGTCCACCAGCACCCTCCAAGGTCAGCATTTAATTATATCCAGAGCAGATCTCCTGTGGCTTCCCTGCAATAGTCTCTAGTAGGGAAGAGTCAGACCCCCTGCTAGATTGCAGAGTGACTGCTCAATCATTTCCTGTGGATCGATCCATCCCGCCCCGCCACCAGCCCACAGTTCTGCTTGTGCTCCTGCAGACCGCTCCTCCTTTTGAGTTTCCTCTCACCTTTCTTTCCGAGTCCAGATTTGCAGCCCTTCCCTTGCCTGGACCCTTCTCATTTCCCCTCTCCAAGTCTTCCCAAGTCTTTCTCCCATCTTTAAATGTAGTTATTATCCAATCCAAGTTCTGTGTATCTTGAAAGACTAGGCAGAGGATTCTAACTAGGAATTCCAACAGGCCCCAAATTCTGGCAACATGATCTAAGCATCCCTACCACTTAGGTCCTTCCAGAGGAACTGTGAAAAGAATACTGGGAGAAAAGGGTGACAAAGGAGTGACTGGAGACCATCACAGCAGGTCTCAGTCAAGTAGGGACCAGAGCCTGGGATGGGAGGTGTGGGTGAGACCACAGAGAAGCGAGGAAGCTCTGGACTGTCCTGTTCCTCCCCCTACAACTTACAAGCTTGAACGTGTCACTGCTGTTGTAGGACCACCAGAAGCGGAGATCCTCGAAGCCAAAGCAGCTGGAGAAGGTGCAGGGCAGCAGGATCTCTGTGCCGTTGACAGCGTAGATGGTGGTGGCCTTTCCCACAGATACCTCCAGCGACAGGGACACAGGGAGTAGGAAGAGACCTGTGTAAGGAACACCACCTCCCTCAATAAAATCCCCCTGGAACCTCCAGGCTGGAAGGGGACGCTGGGCAGGGCAGAGTGGGAGATCTCTGTCACCCTCAGTGTCGACTTGGGGAGGATGGTTCTGTTTACTCCCGTTGACACCGCCTGGGCTACCCCTAGAGTGATTGAATTCTGAGCCAGCTAGTAGCCCTTGTGGCACTCTAGATGAACACCAGGGGTCACCCCAACCCAAGGAAACGAGACCCCGGCCACTTACCGCGAACCCGTGCCCCGCTCCGCCCCTCCCCTGGGGTCGCAGCTCCTGAAAGTGCCCCCGCTCACCCCCCCCCCCCCCCCGCCAAGAAATGCGGGGCGGGCCCCGGTCTGTTTGTCTGGAAATTTTCCCTAGGACGGTGCGCCTCCTCGCTATGTTTTGGGGGGGTTTTTTTTTGTTTT